CCTTTTTCAAACATGCGCACCTTCGGTTGCGCCGTGGTACGCTCGGATTGCTCTTCAGTGAGGTCTGGGTGCATTCGGTTCAAACGGGTCGTGAGTCTCCGCCCCATTAACAATTCGGCCGGACTACGGCCTGTAGCACTACAGGGGGTGGTGTGCTGCAGCAAAAGAAAGGAGCCCAGCCTCTGGCTCCAGTCCCCTTCGTCCATTTTACCCAGGGCCTCTTTGGCCGTCCTGACCATCCGTTCGGCTTGGCCATTAGATGCCGGATGGAAAGGGGCCGAAGTCATTTGGCGTATGCCATTACTCGTGAGGAAGAGCCTAAATTCCTCAGACACAAATTGAGGCCCGTTGTCACTGACGATGACGTCAGGCAACCCGTGGGTGGCAAAAAGTCGGCGGAGCGCATGGATCACAGCAAGTGATGTGGTCGATTTCATATGCACGACCTCCAGCCATTTGGACATAGCGTCCACCACAATTAGGAACATTTGCCCTTGGAGAGGGCCAGCAAAATCTATATGCAATCTGGCCCAGGGTTTACCAGATGACTCCCAGCCTTGGGGTGTAGCTTGTGGGGGATCGGGTCTGACTTGCTGGCATTTGGGACACCCTCGTACCCATTCTTCGATCTCTTTGTCCAGCCCCGGCCACCAGACATACCCTCTGGCCAACGCTTTGGTGTGTACCATACCGGGGTGACCCTCGTGCAGCGACTCTAACACTCTCGTCCTGAGTTTGTCAGGAACCACCACCCTGTTCCCCCATAATACACAGCCCTTAGAAATGGATAGTTCATTTTGACGGCTTTTGTAAGGGCCGAACTCCGGTTCAACGCTTCCAACCGGCCACCCCCTCCAAACCCAGTTTAATACTCGGGACAGCACGCTATCCTTGGCCGTGTGTGCTGCAATGTCCCTGGATGATACCGGGGGTCGAGGAAGCTCCTCAATTGCCAAGACCTCACAGGCGGGGGCAGGGTCTGCGCCAATGTCCGGCACCGGGCACCGGCTGAGGGCATCCGCATGCCCAATCGCTTTCCCAGGCCGGTGCTCTAAGTCAAAATCATAAGCCTGCAAAAATATCGCCCATCTAAGCATGCGTGGGGACATGATGTTTGGCAATTGCTTATCGGGCGCAAAAATCCCCAGTAGCGGCTTGTGGTCAGTGACCAGCAAAAATCGTCTGCCAAAAATAAAATCATGGAACTTTTTGACAGCCGCTACCAACGCCAGACCCTCCTTGTCTATCTGGGCATAGTTCCGCTCTGCCGCAGATAGTGATCTAGAATAAAAAGCGATAGGCGCTTCGCTCCCATCAGGCATCAGATGGCTTAAAACTGCGCCTACTCCAAAAGGTGAAGCGTCAGCAGCTAACACCAGGAGCTTGTGTTCATCATAATGCGTGAGTACGGCATTAGATGTCAGCAGCTCCTTGACTCCCACAAAAGCCTTTTCCTCGGCCTGCCCCCACTTCCATTTTGCCTCCTTGTGCAAAAGCGCGTGCAAAGGGGCCGCCACTGATGCCTTATGCGGTAAAAACGCATGATAAAAATTCAGGAGTCCTAAAAAGGATTGGAGCTCCTTCTTACTCACCGGCCTGGGGGCGTTTTGGATTGCAGATACCTTCTCATCCGTGGGGTGGACTCCCTCTGCGTCAATGCGAAACCCCAGGAAGTCCACACTTTCCACCCCGAGCGTGCATTTTGAGCGCTTAACTCTGAGACCGGCATTTTGAAAACGCCTGAGGACCTCTTTAACCCGGTCCAGTAGTTCCTGTTCAGACCCGCCCGCAATCAGCACGTCGTCAAAATAGGGCACTGTGCCAGGTACCCCCCTTAGTAGACGTTCCATGAGGCCCTGAAAAATCCCAGGTGCTACGTTGACCCCGAATTGCAGCCTGTTCACTTTAAAAGCCCCTTGGTGGGTTACAATTGTTTGGGCCTCGGCAGCCTCCGGGGTGACAGGCAACTGCTGGTATGCCTGGGCCAGGTCAAATTTGGCGAAAATCTTGCCACCCCCCAGGGAAGCCAAAATGTGGCTTATTACCGGGACCGGGTACGAATGTTGCTGCAGCGCCTTGTTAATCGTACATTTGTAATCGGCGCATAGTCGTATGGACCCATCTGATTTGACAGGGGTTACGATCGGGGTCTCCCATTTGCTGTATGGTACTGGCTCTAAAACCCCTTGCTCAACTAGTTTGTCAATCTCTTTTTCCACCTTATGTTTGAGAGACACAGGTACTTTCCGATACTTCAACCTAATAGGTTTGACTGACGGATCTAAGTCAAACGCAACCGGGGGGCCCTTGTACCTCCCCAACCCTTCGGCAAATACATCAGGGAACAGGTCGTACAGCATGCCCCATTTATTTTCAGACATCCTGTTAATCCCAGAAATACCAATGCCCAATGGCTCAAACCAATCTAACCCTAGCAGGTTAACCCGGTCTCCCTCTGCAATCAGGAATGACAGTTTAACACATTTCCCCTTATACTCAACAGTAACAGAGTCCCGTCCGGCCAAGGGAATTCGGTTGCCCTGGAAGTCGGACACTCTGGTTCCCGCAGGCTGGAGCCGCCGCCGGCTTCGGTTCGGGAACAACTGGCGCCAGGACGCGGCAGAAATCACCGTCACGGACGATCCTGAGTCCACCTCCATTGTACAGGGTCGGCCGTCGAGGAGTGGAGTCACGGTGATCTTGCCCTGGCTGCTGGTGCGATTTACGGCCGATGCGCTCGACAAGGTCGCCGTCAACTGGCAGCTTGCTTCCGATGCTGAGGAACGGGTCTTGCCTTGGGTGCTGACTGGAGTGCCCCTCTGCGCTGACCGGTTGTTAGTTGAGGGATCCTTCTTTGCTGATCTGCAGACTCTGGCCAGATGACCACGCCGCCCACACGCTCTGCAGTCGACATCACGAGCCCAACAGGAGTCGCGCTGGTGTTTCCCGCCACAACCGGAGCAAGGCTTGACGTTGGTAGTCTTCGCTGGGGTCCGCTTGCCTCGAACCGCGTTGACGTCATCATCCGCGTCTTCGCCCTCGCTGTCTCGTTGAGCGTGTATACTGGGCTCTGCCACCCGCTGGCGGACCTCCTTCGTGGACTTCTCCGCTGCTTCCGCGGCCACGGCCTCTTCGTAGGCCACTGCCCAGGTCAGGGTGGTGCGGGCGAACAGCCTCTGTTGCAGCCTTTCATCTTTGAGACCGCAGACGAGACGGTCTCTGAGGGCTTCCTCCACGTTGTGGAAATTACATGGTCGTGCGGCTTTGCGAAGGGCCGCCACGAAATCTGCGATGGTCTCGCCTCCGGCCTGGTTCCGCTTGTAAAAAGCGTGCCGGCAGGCGATCTCCGACGGTTGTGGAGAATAGTGAGCCTTAAGCTTCTCCGTGATGTCAGCGTAGGTGACAGTCTTTATATCAGTTGGGGCCACCAACGACCTGGCTATGTCGAAGGTCCCCTTCCCGCAGGAACTCAGGAGGCATGCTCGTTTCTTCGCCTCATTGGTGATGTCGTGGGTTTCCAGATGGAACTCGAACCTGGACAGGTAGGAGTCCCAGTCTTCTGAGGAGGGTTCGAAGCACTCGAACTTCTGGCTTCCAGCCATCGTGGGAGACTTGGGCACCGGAGCTGGTGGCGCCTCCGCCAGATCGGCTGCTGTGCTTTGCCCGCTTTCTTCCGAGTCCGAAGTGTGGATGTCCGCAGGGCTGCCTACCTGCTCTAAGATCCCACCTTCGTCGCCAATTGTTAGATCGCGCTAACAAAGGACTCTTAGAGTGATTCAGCAAGTGATTCAGCTTTATTGGAAGTAACGAACAAGCACTCAACTCAGTAAGAAACCAGAACAGAAAACTGGGAGCTTATGCTCCTTTTAAACATAACCGGGCTAATGTAGCCACGCCTATTTACAATTAACAACCAATGAGATTGCTTAGTTAAGGACCAATGGGAGTCTTTCCCGCCTGGGGAATGGTATCGTTCTGATTGGTCGCTGTTACGAAGCGACCAATAGGAAGGTCGCTCAGAGGAGCCCTGGTCTGGCTCGAAGCTTAACATAGGAGTCCTATGAGGTGATTCATGTAATCGTTTCAATACATTACAGGAATCATAGCATGTACATATTTCAAAGGTCTGGGAGGCTGACAGTGCAGTCCTAAGCAGAGTTATGCCATTCTAAGCCCACTGACTTCACTGGGCTCAGAAGTGGAACATCACTCAGTTTTAGATTGCTCTGTGAGCCTCTAGTTCTTTATCTCTATGGCAGGATGCTTTTTGGGGAGTGCAGAATAACAACAAAAATAGCAATATCGGAGGAGGACGTGACCCAAGAACAACTGCAGTCTGCCACTGCCTTCCAGACTCTCTCAGTCACTTGATCTGCTTAAACTAATGAAATTTTAACTACTAACGTTTACAAAAAAAACCCACTCTGCCCAATTGCTGTTGGTAATTCTGAATGATAAAAAGCTCTGTCTAAACACATAAGCTATCAGTTTTTATCTGCAAGATGGTGGACATGGGGAAAAAGATGAAGTCAGCCTGAGAAACAGGGAGGAGGGACTGTTCAGTCAGAGGGAACAATATGACAGAAGGCATTGAAATGGGAATGCAGTAGGGAGAGTGGGAGATAATAGCAGACATATTCGTTTAGAGTAGAAATACTGGAGGGACAAGATGCTGCATAACTGTATACCCACACCATATGTACAAGTGTCCCTGTGTAGCAAATGAGATTTCTAGATATTAATAATACAGATTTCCATTTGCATCTCATGATGTCTACCCGTGCAACAATCTTAAATCTGTTGTATGGTCTGGAAAAACCTGTTCATACAAATGTGGATGTGCTTCTCTCCACGTGTGACTGGTTGAGGCCAATGTGTATACCAAGACGTATATCTTTACTTTGAGGAAAACACTGACGAGAAATGTAAAGTGTCTATGTCCATCCCTATTTGTTTCCTGTGCATTCTCTTTGTTTTTCTCTTTGTCGTCTACCTGTTAGGATGGAAACAAACAGTTAATCAGAGAAACAGCCACACATCAATTAAACTCAGAGCGATATGTTCACACTTTTAAAGATCTGTCCAATTTCTCAGGATCAATAAACGTTTCCTATCGCTATCTGGCTGGCACACCTTTGCTCAGAAAAAGTAAGTATCTGGAATTTCGTTTTTATTAACCAAAGCAAGATTCTTTTATCTTACCTAAACAAAGATAGAAAAAGTGAGTAAGAGTGTCTGTTTGTAAATACAATAGAACTTCAGCTTTAGTATCACTATCTAGGAAAGGATTGCTGTTAAAATCGCAAGAAATAATCCTGAATTCCTATACAGTTGCGAAACAGAACTCAGCAAACAAAACTCCAACTCATTATGAAATTAATAAACTCTTCTTTTAATCTCAAACCAACAATCATATGTGGAGAATGCAAGCATGGGTCAGGGAAGAGGCTTTCTGTACCTCTTACAATGTGTGCAGAATTGTTCACTGTTCAGCCATTTACATTTTAACACCAAATGACCTCATTAGGGGATGACTACCCTTAAGAATGCAACTGGCATTTCAACAGGACTGCCAAAGCTCAATAGTGATTATAGATATGCAGCTCTCTTAGCCCATTCCCAAAGTCACAGTACAGGCACAATAAGAGGAATTTTAAAGATGCTGCCAACTGAAAAGTCCATGTATCTGAACTCCCCCTGGGCATGCAAATGCTTCAGGAGCTGTAAACACCCAAAGAAACACTCAGCACCTGCAGTCACTCCTACTTTTGTTTTCCAGTACTCTGTCATATATGGATGACAATCAAAAATTTTCCATTGGGATATAGTTGATATCAATGCACTTCGAGTATTTTTTTTTCTCCTGTATTAAGAGAACAGGCAAAATTCAACCGTGGGTGCAGGGTCAATATGACCCCATAAGTCCGATAGCACCTTAGAGATCAACAAGATTACAAGGTATAAGCTTTCAAGACTCAAAGTTCCCTTCATCAGGTAGTTTGTTAATTAGTTGTTAATGTATATTACTTTTCATACTGTACAAAGAGCTGTAAAAAAAATGGGTTGCCAGCTGCTGCAAGGCCTGCTGGAAAATCCTGGGGGCAAACACAGTCACGCTGGTATCTGTACAATGTGCCATGTCATTTCCAGTGCAAAACCAGAAGTGATGCCATCACATCATACTGATGCTCTAAAATTTTCCAAAAATACTATGGCTAACTATAGACTTCTGGGGAAATCCTAGAGTACTGGTACAACTTGATGTTGTTACTTCCAGTTTTGCACTGCAAGTGATATGACACATTGCACCGGCACCGGTGAGCCCCCCAAATATTCCCCCTGCCAGCCTGAGAAATAAGTTTTAAAAGCAGTTTATGATGTGGCATTGGTAAAGGAAAAAGGCATAAGTCTTACAAGCCGGTCCGTAGCCAGGATTTTTTTAATGGGGGGGGGTCAAAAAATTGGGGGGCACTGAAATAAAGATAAAATTTTAAAACTCACGTGGGCTGGCTGGTCCCTGCCCAAGCCAGTCCTCCCATGTGGTGGCTGGAGAGAAAGACGTGCCAGTCTCCAGTGGGACAAAGCAGTGCTGCCCCCCATGACTGCTGCAAACACACACACACACACACACACAGTTGAAGTAAGGATCTGTGGAAGAGGGCGGGCCTGGGAATAGCTGTACAGAGACCTTGGGAGAGGAGGGGTTGCCTGCTGCGGTTGAGCGAGCAAAGCAATGGGAAGGAATGTCGGCTCTGCTTGGGCGTGGGAAAGGGAGGACTCAAGAGTGGGGCTAGGCATCTATCCACAAGAACAGCGGGGAGGGGGAGACACTCATGAAGCGGTTCCTGGTTGATACATATTACAACTGCCCACCTGCCAACATTTCCACCAAAGAATGCCTTCGGCTGAGTCCTGGATGCACCAGAAAAGCAGGGTGTGCGGAAGAGGGCTGGCCAGTGTACCAGGTTCCCACCCACCCACCCCTGGCTGCAGCCTTACCATGGAGGCAGCCCCCTGGTCTGTCTGTGAGACCTGCCCTCCTGGTGGGGACTCCCCACTCTCTCCTTCTGCTTCCCAGGCACTATAGGCATGGGCAGGCAGGTGGCACATTCCCCGGAGGCAGCCACAGAAGGGTGAATGCATGCTGCACAGTCCTAATGCCATGCTCCGGTTTTAGATCCCTGGCACCAGCTCCCCCACAGCCCGGCTTTTGCTTTATTGGCTTTTGCTCCCCCCCCCCCACTTCCATGCCTCATCCAACCCCCGGGCAGTTGCCTGCCTGCTGTGGCCTGCTCAGGGGCCTCCTCCTCCTCCTCTCAAAGGCTGCTGCTGGCAGAAGCAGCAGGCCGGGCCTTGAAAGCAGCTGCCGCCGCTGCCTTGTGCACCTCGACTGAGGAGGATGAAGAGGAACTGCCTCCATCATGGGCCTTGGTGCCCCGCGACATTCCAGTGCCCCAGCCCCAGCATGCCCCCCCCCCGCAGCCACAGCAGCTGTTCCTGGATGAGGAAGGCAAGGAGAGATGGCGCAGCCGCTGCGGTGGTGCAGGGGGAGTTCGGCCAGGGTATTTAAAGGAAGTCGGGGGGGGCCTTTGAAGGAAATCAGGGGCAGCCCCCAAATGCCCCACTGTAGCTACAGGCCTGCTTACAAGGCATATGCAAGTCCTTGAGTGTGCCTGAAAGTACTTTGTAGACTATGGGTTTTATTATTCCAATAACTTACTTTTACTAAAACAGCATGTGTTTTAATATCAATGTTATAGTTTCTTAATAAGCCTATTTCTTTTCATTTCTGCAGGGTATCTTACCATTGGACTGTCATCTGTTAAAAGGAAGAAGGGGAATTATTTGCTTGAGACAATCAAGTCCATATTTGAGCAGTCAAGTTATGAGGAGCTGAAAGAAATTGCAGTAGTAGTGCACCTGGCAGAGTTTGACTCATCTTGGTGTGATGGGATGGTTCAAGATATTTCACAGAAATTTGCCCATCACATAATTGCTGGCAGATTAATTGTGATTCATACTCCTGAGGAATACTATCCTGTATTGGATGGCCTTAAGAGAAATTACAATGACCCAGAAGATCGGGTGAAGTTCCGTTCCAAGCAAAATGTAGATTATGCTTTCTTGCTTAACTTCTGTGCTAACCTTTCTGATTATTACATGATGTTAGAAGATGATGTTCGATGTTCCAAAAACTTCTTGACTGTAGTTAAGAAAGTCATAACTTCACGAGAAAGAACCTACTGGGTGACGTTAGAGTTTTCCAAGTTGGGATACATTGGGAAACTATACCATTCCCATGATCTCCCCCGCCTGGGCCATTTCTTGCTGATGTTCTACCAGGAAATGCCTTGTGATTGGCTGCTAATACATTTCCGGGGGCTATTGGCTCAAAAGGATGTGATACGTTTCAAGCCTTCTCTCTTCCAGCATATGGGATATTATTCATCTTACAAAGGAGCAGAGAATAAATTAAAAGATGATGACTTTGAAGAGGATTCATTTGACATCCCAGATAACCCACCTGCCAACCTACACACCAACATGAATGTCTTTGAAAATTATGAAGCAAGCAAGGCTTACAGTAGTGTTGATGAATACTTCTGGGGAAAGGCACCCTCCACTGGAGATTTCTATGTAATTGTCTTTGAAAAGCCAATTAAAATCAATAGAATTAAAGTTGTCACTGGAACAGAAGACCGACAAAATGATATTTTGCATCACGGAGCTCTAGAAGTTGGTGAAAAAATTGTTGGTGGCAAAAAGGGGAGACAGTGTACCACTTACTTACGACTAGGGGAGTTTAAAAATGGGAACTTGGAAATTACAGAAGTAGAGCACAAAGTTCTTTTTGATATTCACTGTATGAGAATACTTATTACTAAAAGCCAAAAGGAATGGTTGATCATTAGGAGCATTAGCATATGGACTTCACAGCCACCAAGTCAATAAAGCAACTTTACTGCAGATACTGATTAGTGACTAAGGACCATAACTTGGATTCTGAAGGGAAGGCAGTCCATAAAATGATTGACTTCCTACCAGCTCTTTGCCTCTGACACTGGCAGTCTGGGAAATCACAAAACAAACAAAGCAATCTATTTTTTACTAGTTCAGTCAGGCAATATACAATGACTAGTTTGTTGGAATGTTTGAATTTTATAGGAAGTGCAAACACGTTCCCATCCATTTCTCAAGCTCTAAATCCATTTCTCTGTTGTTTTTATCTCCCCTTGGGGAAGAACCAATGTACTAAACAAAGCAAATGCTACTTCATTATTTAAAGGTTTTGTAGGCCTTTGCCAGTATATTGTCAAAAGAATTTGACTCCATTTTATCCACATATAAATTAAAAATGTGATGGTGGTTTGTGTTTGTACAGTGGTTGGTGGCTTGTTTTGTTTTGAAGGCAGTCTTGATAATGCAGTTGGTATTCTCTAGTGTGAGCAATGTAAGAAAGCTGTGCTGGTACCCACTGCAGATTCTTTTAAATGAAAATACATGTACTGTTATACATCTGTAATGATCATTCTGTAAACTCAAAAAGTGCACCCACTGTTCTTGAGCTGAACCAACATATACGACTCTGCCAGGATTCCTTGCCCTGAAATGACACACTAATCCAATTCCACCTGTCTTTCATTTTGCAGTATTGAACTAGGGCCCATTAAGTCTATGGCCAGTGTTCACCTCTTAAGTTTTATATGGTAGCTGTATTACACACCAGTATTATTGTCTTCACATTCAGAGAGTTCTCTGTGATGCTGCAGAAATATGAATGATTTTGTAATGTATGACTGATTGATGGTTTCAGTGGTGGGATTTGATATGCTCTGCTCGGAATTCAAAAGTTAAATGTCAAAGTTCTGTCATGCTTCAGTGCATATCCTGGATGTCATGTGAGAGAAGTACTCAATTTTCTTTAATGCTAGATAATGTTCACATGTACTTCACCATTATCAGGGAATATTTTGCACACACACAATAGGAATATACATACAGAGGATTCTGCAGTATTGATAAGGATGATGTTCCCTGTATTCACTGACCTTCATGTGCATATTGGATTCTGTAAAACTTTGGATTATGGCCCTTGGCCATAATGGCCACTTATGGCTTCTCTTACTTGCCTCTATTTAAGTTCAGTGGAGTTTAGACAAGAAATAGTTTTAATAAATTATGCCCCTTGCCTCTATTGCCAGTGACAACTGTATTCATTTTAGGTTTAGCGGTTCATAGGAGGCAAGTATTTTCCCTTCATGATCATTGAAGCTTTGCTGTGTGAAATATTTCCCATAATTTATTCAACCATTCAGATCAGATTTTTCTTTCTTTCAAAAAATCAATCCTGCTGTTTTTGCAGTGTTAGATTGGATGCTTCTTGTTTTAAGCATAATGGATGAATTCATTGAGAAAAAAATACTCCGTGTGAAGCATGGTTAAAAAATGTGTTTCCCTTTGGGAGACTGCTCATAAATATATCACACCATTAAAATTCCACTTTTAAATTGTCCACTAGGGTGTGCAAAAAAAAAAAAATCAGTATTTTTCAGTTCAGGGCTATTGGACCTGAAAATTTTTTAGTATTTCCAAAAAAATCCCGGATCCCAGTTGGGTCTGGGATTTTTTTGGAAATCCCAAATTGTGGGCGGTTCAATAGACCCAAGAAGAAAAATACTGTTTTTTTAAAAAAAATAAAAGCCAGTCCCAGGGTTGGGTTTGACTTCTCCTTCAGCACAGTTTAAATTTTGCTGCAGGAGAAGCTGGCCCCAGGATCTGCATGTGGCAGAAAGGCCTCTCCCCACCACATGCAGACCCGGCTGGGAGGGCTTCTCTTGCTCTCAGCTCCCACTGCCTCAGCTGATCCTGGGCTGGCTCCTCTTGCAGCTCGGTTTAAACCAAGCTGCAAGAGAAGCCAGCCCCAGCTGAGGCAGCACAGAGCTCTCAGCTCTCACTGCCCATTTGGTATAGCTGAATATACTCGAATAAAAGCAAAACAACAACAACAAACCCCCATCTTTTATTTGGGCTTAGCTATACCAGTAGCCAATCAGATTCTCAGATCTGTATTTGGCTTAAATTATACCCGAAAAATACTGGTATTTTTTCAGGGTTTTTTTTAGGATCAGTTTATGCTGAATGCACACCCCTATTGTCCATCCTCATCACAATTTGTCACTGCAGTATAGCTCACCCTCACCAAAAAAGGGTCACAAATACTGTGATATTTCCATCTTAATGCGCGTGATGTATAAATCAGTTTTTATATGTAAGGAATATCTTTTTATTTATTGAAAAACACAAAGTTGACAAAGTAACAAGTCACATGTTTACATTTTCCAAAACTATCCTTGTCAGTTTGTCATTTTTATTGCATTGTCCTCTTTCATTGTCTTGCTTTATGGGCCAGCTGGGATACACAGATGCATAGAAAGAGGGGTGTAATAGCTACAGTTCTGTTGCTGATGTGTTATTGTTATACAAGCATCTCTGGATACAGTCTTATGTTCAGTGAGACTGCTTAAATCCAAGTCACTTTTGGTTTCCTCTGATCTGCCTTGCCTCCCCCCCCCCCCAACATTGATTATCTCTGGTCATTAATTCCTATTGCATAGGAGATATTGAACCAACTGAGGAAATCTCTCATTCCACAGGATCTCCATGAGTAAATGGAATTCCTGTAGAGGTTTGGTTTGGAATGACAGGCTGATGGAAAAGTATAAAATGAAGGTGCTTTAAAAAGTAGTTCTTACCTATGCCCAACTGTTTCCAAGTTATCTTTCTCACATAAGTTCATCTGACACTGTTTTAAAAAAAATCTACTGTGATATTTCATTTCATCGAGCTAGACGCCATTGTCATTGTGCATGAACTGTGAAATTGGCATTTCTGAGCTGGAGGTGGTCTTCATAGTGACAGGTAATATCCATTGTTACAGTAGTGGTGATAAATCTCTGTGGAAGGAACAGTAAATAACTTCCATTCTAATATTGATTTAACTGACAGGTTGGAACAATGTCTTCATTACTTTAAAGTTAAGTTTTTTATTAATTAGATTATGGTGGAATTAAAAGTGGGTTTGCATGTCAACAAGTAGAGCTCTGTAATTCGGTCAATAGACTCATTCTGAATGCCATAAGGCAATGGACTTAGTAGGGTTGCCTGGGATTGCACTGCTAGTCATTTGCTTTCTGACCTTGGGTCAGTCACAAGTTGTCTCAGAACTGTTCTCTCAAGAGCAATCTTCGAAAGAGCTCTCTCAGCCCCACCTATTGGGGGGAGGGGAAGGGAAGGTGATTGTAAACTGCTCTGAAACTCCAAGCGAAAGGTGAGGTATAAATCCAGTCTTTTCTCCTTCTTCCTCTGGACACAGGGAGGAAAGGTTATGATAGCTGCAATTTGCAGCTGTTCAGAAGTGGAGAGTCTACTAATTCACCACAAAACAACCATCACACTCATATTTAGCCCAGCATCCAGAATCCAAAGGATGCTGAACTGGTTTTGAAGTTATCACAAACATAGTAAAACTTGAAAAATATAGAATCATAAACAAAGTCATATTGTCCCCGTCAGCCTTTGGAATAGCAATGGTTAGGGGCATCTGACTCTGACATAAATTATATTTAATTGCGTTGTGGTTCACCCATCTTAAAAAGAAATCAGCTGGTGTGCTGCCCAATAATTATGTGAATTAGCTTTAAATGATGCAGCTCAAAATTAATGGGATTGAGACAAGGCTGGAATCAACACATCCTGAGGCGGGGCAGCTGCCAGAACCCAGGGCTTCTAGTAGGGCTCCCCACCCACACACTTGCCTTGCCATCTATCAAAGCACCCTTCTCCCTGTCTGCTTATGAGAACTCTGCCACCAACGTTCTTGGCTGCGTGTACTGCCCAGCACTGCTGGGGAGGGTTGTGCAGATGGTGCATGGTGGTGGCACTTTTGGCAGCCACAGTGGGGGCACTCCTAGCTGTGCACTATGTAGCACCACTGGTGAAAGAGGGGTGGGCAGCTTTGAGCACAAGCAGTGGGAGGATTCATTAGTAGGTGGAGGCAAGGTACACAGGCAGGTGTGGGACATGCAGGTGAGTGGGCAGGAAGAATGCTATAAATTGGAGGCTGATGGTAAGCAAAGTAGGGGAGGGCACTTTCTGCCCCACAAAACCTGGTACTGGCCCCCTTTATCAGATTCAGTAAAGTTAGAGCTGTGGCAACAACTGATTGTTGGACCTCCCAAACAGGCTACTTTCTGTTGATTGTAAGTTTTCGGTGATTGTAAAAGTCAATAGTTACTGAGGAGAAAATGCATAAACGGTCTAAATCCACCCTGAAGAGATTATCCATAAATGCTGTTGTCAAAATAGCCAGAAAAAGACCACAACCTATACAGTTCAAATTGACCTTACATATCACAAAAGGATTGCCAGGTGTATTTAAAAAAAAATATTTTACTAAACTTATACCCCACTTTTCTGTTGTCATAAGGATTACCAATGTGGCTAACAAATTAAAACATGTATAATAAAATCACATCTCAAAAACCATTAAAATTAACAAAAGCACATTAAAAATAAATCCTGAGCTAAAATACACAAAACACATGAAAACAACAATCAAAACATTGGGCAGGATGAAGGCAATGCTGAGGGAACACCAAACAAAATAAAGAAGTCTTTGAGTAGGGTTCTCTTTTCTGGTTGAGTTGTTCCTCTCTCAAACCTTTAAGTCTTACTCATTTCCAAATGCTCAGTGCCTGAAAGGCTGCACAATATATTCTTTTACTGGTTTTCTTAGGAATATTGTGGCAATTGGTGATTACAAATGTTGGTGCTATTTGCATAAAGCCAGCAAAAAAGTTGTATTGAAAGAATGCCCGTACTGACCAAAAAGGCCAACGGGGAAAGCAACCTAATACTGGATTGAGTGTACCAGCAAAGTGATTTCACAAGGG